AGAGAGAGAGAGACGTCGCACGGATTGACGATGAGCACCACCCGTCGAGCACCAAGTTCCCGTCAAGCGACAGTCAGAGAGACAGAGAGAGAGAGCACGGCAACAACATTGCGGGCGGGCAATCGTAGGGGTGGCCGGCAACACAAAAACGGGCGGGCGGGGATTGGAGGGGTGCGCCGGCAACACAAAAATGGCCGGGCGGGCGATTGGAGAGGTAGGCCGGCAACACAAAAACGGGCAGGCGGGGATTGGAGGGGTGCACACACAAAAACGGCTGGGCGGGCGATTGGAGAGGTAGCCCGGCAACACAAAAACGGGCGGGCAGACAATCGGGTGCTTCGACGCTTCCGATACCAACCGGCAACCGGCAATTGGAGGGGTGGGCGGGGCCTTGGTCCCACTTGCAGAAGTCTATGGACGATTGGAGGGGTGGGCGGGGCGGGTTGCTACCGGGTCCCACTTGCAAAGATCGACGGCCGAAATCTCCTAATTTGCGCAAGTGGGACCTTGCCCCGGGGTGGGCCGCGATTAGAAAAATGGGCGGACGGGCGGGCGGGTGATTGGAGGGGGGGGCAGCTGGAAAAAAGAAAACGGGCGGGCTTCCGGTAGATGTAGATGTAGACACGATTCGAGGGGTGGGCTCGCGCCGGGCCGGCGACGGCCCAGATCGCAGGTCGACTTTCTGATCTGGGCCGATCTGGGCCGTCACCGGTAACGGTACCGGCCTGCGATTCAGGCCGTACGATAAGAAATAGCGATTCTTATAGTAGTGTAGATATACACCGCAATCATTTCCGTTTTCCATGCGCGTCAGGGGCAGTGGAGTGAGGCACGAAATGCGGTGGTACCTGCAGTTTCGTTTTCGTTTTCTTTTTGCAGAGTAAAAAAAAAAAAAAAAAACAAGAACGGAGTGAGGCCCGCCCTGTACTACCGGTGGGCCGAAGGTGAATTACGAATATCGGCCTACCGGTCCCCCCGACTTTCCGACATCCAGGGGGCTGGTGGTTTTACGCAAGCAGCAGCCCGCGAGTCTCTGCTCCAGTATTGCAAGTGCCCGAATGAGCTGCCTGGCCACAAGCTCTTTCCTATATGCAAGAGTTCTGGCCAGGCCTGCGGCTTGGTTGGGCTGGGCCTGCGCCCAGAAGCTTCTGGTAGGCCCCAAGTGGATGGTCCTCTGCTGCAGCTGCTGGGCCCCTTTCAGTTAGGCCTCCAAACTGTCTGTGTATGTTGCTCCGAATCCTGCCCAGGGCCTGCATTTCAGAAAAGGTCTAGAAGGCCGAGGAAAGTCTTTGCTGCTCTGGCCCTGGGTTCCCTCAACCAACTGACGCCACACAACAGCCTGAACGCCACATACGAAATTGACAGCATTTGGCCTCTCGTGATTTGTTAGGCCCGCCTTCACTTAGGTCGGGCACACGTGCATACTGGGCCCCTCAGGCCTGCGAAGGAGTCAAATCCTCGCACTTCCAAGCAAATGTATCATATGGCACTGCACTGTGTTTAAGCTGTTTTTGAAGATACAGAAGAATGTGCAATCAGACTTGTGTTCGTTCGCTCAGCATGCATGCAAATAGATGACAATCAAACCTGGCGCAGAGCGCCCACACAAAGCTCAGAGAGAATACGTGGCCAGGAACACAGCTCTGATTCAAACTTGTCTTAATGGCTATGGCGCGTGGCGCCAGACAAAGATTCCCACCCGATCAAGTGTATCCTCCAGCAACTTATTCGCACGCACATGCTGACTCTCGAATCACCCTGGACATCCCGCACACACACTCACACACTCTGAACACACACACAGTCTCACCTTCTATGTGGCAGCTATGGCAGACGTCTACTCCCTACCACTAACTCGCGGCTAGGGCCGCGTCTTCCTCCTCTTAGCCCTTTTCCTCTCTGGGCACCTGCAGACCGCCGTAGCACAAGACGCTCCGACGGCGCTTCCACACGGCTCACAGGCAGAATGAATGCATGACGCTGCCTCTTTATTTGTACTTCGGATCGTTGTAGGTCTGCCCTTGGACCCTGGGCCTGGAGTATGCACCACATGGTACTTGCTGACTAGACAAAGTGGGACCGGGACTGGGTACCGCTGACTGGACTAAGTAGGACTGCCCTTCGCTGAGTGGACTTTAGGACTGCCCTTCGCTGACTCAACCGTGGACTGACTCCTAGGACCTACGAAGAGCCAGTTCCGGAGCTTCCAGAAGGTCGTAGACTTCACCTTCCAGAACTGTAGCAGGTACGATTTATACTACACCTATCACTGCTAATCCTAAAGTCTACGGGTCAAGACGTCACGACCGGACTATATACATCAGACGAACATACGACTTTCAGGACACAGATCCCGGGTTCAAACAAACGCGGATCAACGGGTACTGTACATGGGTAAGGGGGGGATCTAGGGATCGAGCCCTGGGAACTGCATCTGTCACCGTAATAGGTGAAAACCGTTTCAAATGTACTGCCTAAGGAAAAGATTGTGTTCAAGTACAATTGTACAAATTGTTATTTTTGTCACATGGGATATGATAAATAGCCTCAAATAGGTCTTTGTGCCATCAGTCTTGACCATTAGGTGGCTACACTACTTTTTTTCTTTCAACCCATGACAAATCTTTGAAGGGGGCACACGTGACCAGTGGTCCGGGCCTGCTACAACTTTTTTCTTTCAACCCATGACAAATCTTTGAAGGGGGCACAGGTGACCAATGGTCCGGGCCTGCTACACCTTTTGTGGGTGCCTATTTCCCCCGTGCGCCACACAGATCCAGTGCACTCGCACACCATACATGAGCAATTGCCCGCATGGCATGCGCTTGCAAGCATGAGACCACAAGCATGAGACCAATCAAACTTTTCAAACACTAAGAGCAGTGTTGTGACACAGGGCCTTCATATGCACCATCACATACCTTCGCCTCCATAAGACAGGCGTGATTGGCACGCAGCGCATCCGTGATAGATCTTACAGCTTCCTCCATTCGTGTCACAGCACAGTCCACCTGGCCACCCACAAGAAAAGAATGACATCCATTCACTTGGTCATTTACAATCTTGTTGAACAAGAGCATGCTGGTCAATGTCAAAATTTTGCACAGCAACAGGCTGACCTTCATTCGTCATATCAGGGGACAACCGCCAGACTGTCACCGGTACAAAAAAAGAGAAAAACCACCAGACTGTCACCGGTACAAAAAAAGAGAAAAACCACCAGATTGTCACCGGTACAAAAAAAGAGAAAAAAAGCTCAGTTATACCTTTCTCGGACTTTTGGCTAAGATCAAGTGTAGTATCTGTTCTGATCAGTTTAATATCTGATCCGTGGTCCATCGGACCACACGATATTAAATTATTTTTTCTGGGCTTCGGAGGGGTCGTACAAGTAAGCTTGCTTGCCTGACCCCTTCAGCGTTGCCTCTGTATTGCACTGCAGCAGAGTGCGGCTCAGCAAACAATTTCTAAACGGGCGGACCTCAGAGGAGACCAGGAAGAAAAGGAGTAGGAAGAAGTTGACCAGAAACTGCAGTAATGACGGATTGACCAGATGCAATGCATGGACAGGGAGAACAAGAGAGAGAAAACAGAGTGAACATCCCAAGGCAGATCAATGCAGCCACAGCAAGAGAATCACACTCACAATGCATGGAAAACCAGGAAAAACGCATAGGGAGACAGGGAGAAAAGGACAGCAAACGTCAAGAACAGAGGCCAAAAGGAGGGGCATCATTGACGGTGAAAAAGGATGAAGGTCCGGGGGTATGGATCTTGACAGCAGAGGACACAGCTTAAGGTACTCAGGGTGATCAACCTTAACGGACCCCAGAAGATATCCTAAAATCATTATTGCTTTACATTTATCCGACCACCAATACTCATACCCGTTTCCTTTTTTCACAATACGAACTAGTTGCTCGGGTATTTGTTAAAGACGAATGCGGAGACTCGCCGGAGAGCAACTCGGTACTCAGATGAAGCAATGCAGACTTCCAACTTCCAGCGACCAGCCTTACGGAAAGCAGTCTAACCATATAACGGATGGGAAGAGCATGGACTGACCTTGTTCAGTATCCCAAAGTGCCAAGACACAAAACTGTTATGACCCTGGCCAATTTCGAGATACACATCCACTGGAAAGTACAATGCCATCCAATTGCAGAAAGAAATAAATGAACTTGAGAGGTGAGAGAGGAGTAGAAGAAGAAGAAGAAGTAAGAAAGAAGAAGAAGAAGATGTACAC